CGGTCGGTCGGTCGGGGAGGGGGCTGGTCCGGACCCCGCTGCCCTGCGCGACGCCCCGTCCTCCGCCGCCCCTCCTCGCCCCCCCCACCCCGCCGTCTCCACCCACCTGGGCAGCTGCTTCACCAGCGCCTGCAGCTCCGAGAGCATCTGGTAGTGCCGCGCCTGCTGCCTCGCCGGACGGTCGCCGCCCAAGCCCCCTCCTCCTCCGCCGGCCGGGCCCCCGCCCGCCTCGCCCTCCGGGAAGACGAAGGCAGCAGCGAAGCGCTCCATGGACGGCGGGGCGGGGCGGGCGGGGGGGGGGAATAGAGCGCGGCGGCGGCTTCTCGCGCGAGCCTGCCGACGCCCCGCCCCTTGCCCCGCCCCCTCCGCGGAGCCAAGGCGGGAGGGGGGCTTCCTCCGTCTCGGGGGGCGCGCCGAGAAGGTCCCGTTCCTCGCCTCCCCGCCGCTGCTTTCTCCCTTCTTAGTTGCTGCCCCCCCTCCCCCCGGCGCCTGAGTAGAGGAATACAGATTAACAGAGTTGGAAGGGACCTTGGAGGTCATCTAGTCCAGCCCCGCGCCCAAGCAGGAGACCCTACACCAGGGGTCTTCAACCTTGGCAAGTTCAAGACTTGTGGACTTCAACTGCCAGAATTCCTGAGCTGACATGACTGGAGGAGGAGGGACTCTGGGAGTGGAAGTCCACAAGTCTTCAAGCTGCCAAGTTGGAAGCCCCCCTGCCCTACACCATTCCTGACAGATGGGGCGGGCGGGGTCTCCTCCTCCGGCGGTGCCCAGCTTGCGTTTCGGTCAATGCAACCTAAATGTGCAATTGTGCAGCCACATCCTGTGTTTGTTTGCTGGCTCGGATTCCGTTATGGGTGCCAAAACCCCCAAACACGTCGCCCCCACTTCCCCTCCCCCCCTCCCCATCCTGGACCCCAGCCTCCTGTTTGAGGAGCGCTCAGAAGAGTTGCATGTCCAGTGGCAGATTAAGGCTCACTGGTGCCCTAAGCCGGGGGTCTCCAACCTTCTGGCAGACTTCAACTCCCAGAATTCTGGGAGCCGAAAAGTCCTCCAGGCTTAAAGTTCCCAAGGCTGGAGACCCCTGCCCTTAGCACTGGCAATGTTTACTAGTATAATTTGATTTGGTCACTTATTATGATGTTTCCTAGTATGAATTGATTGCTTATTTCTACCCTTTGACTACGATTAAGTGTTATACCTATGATCCTTGACAAATGTATTTTTTTCTTTTTCTTTTTTATAAACACTAAGAGATTTTGCACCAAAGACAAATTCCTTGGGTGTCCAATCACACTTGGACACCTGGTGCCCTAAGCATATGCTTAGCCTGCTTCATGCTTAATACACGGAGTGAGCCTCCATCCACAGGAACCTCTTAATAAGCTGGTTTTCCACCTGCAAGTCTTCCCGGTCACCTCTCCAGCTTGGCACACCTGTCCAGGAAATGGCGATCTCCAACGGCTGGATGCCAGGAGGGGGCTTTGGGCTGCACACCCCAACCTGGCAAGGTTTCCGCTGTGATAAAGGCCCCCCAAGGGACCCAATACTGGTTACTGCAGGGGGTTGGACTAGAAGACCTCCAAGATCCTGAAGGATCAGATGATGGCATGTATGTACAGAGGAGGCCCTGGGGATCGGAGGAAGGGTCCTATGTGGAGATAGGACCCAGGTATGGATGGAATGGACATGAGCGTGAGGAATATGAATTCTGATAAAACATTTTCCCTTGTCTTCATTTCTTGGCCTTAAGCAGCCTGGCTCCTTCCTGTCTTCTCCCTCTCCACAGAAGAAGGGGGGGGGTCACAGGGGGGTGTGCTGACAAAGATTTAAAACTGCTTTTTCCTCTGTGGAAGGAGGGGGGTCGCAGGGAGTGGAGGAGCTACCTTGAGCTGCTCTGCAATAGGAAAGGGGTTGGAACCGCACATTACTTCTAACCACTTGGAGCTTGCGTTGACGACTATGAGGAAAGTTTGCCCCTTGCAGGGTCCAGCGAAGTCAACGTGTACTCAGGTCCGTGGGGCTGTGGGTGTCTCCCATTTTCTGGGGCTCGCTGCTGGAGGGGGGCTGGTCTGGTTTCTTGACAGGGGGTGCAAGTGGCGATCCAGGTTTCTTTGTCCAGCCCCGGCCACCACACATAGCTTCTGGCCAGGGCTTTCATTCGGACTATCCCCAGGTGGCCCTCATGTAGCAGTGTCAATATTCTATTCCTTAGTGGGGGCAGAATAACTACTCTCTCCACCCCCAGTATGCAGCCCTTTAGTACTGACAGCTCAGCCTGTCTGTTTTTATATGGTTTGAATTCATCCCCTTTTACCGCTTCCGGCCATCCCCTCCACATCCAGTTTGAAATCCACGCCATAATTTTGTTGCGGGCTGTGAGTCTCATGATCTCTGTAGACGTCATCAGTCCAGGCAGTAGTTCCTCCACTAGTAATACAGTGATGGATAGCGCCAGGTCTTCAGCTAGGTCTGGAAGGGGACAGCGGCTCAGGGTGTCAGCGAGGGAGATGTCTTTTTCTGGCCTATGGATTATGCGGTAGCTATATGAGACCAGGAACACAGTCCATCTTAACATCCTGGGTGATAGGATGTTTGGTGTGGGTCTATCTCTGGTGGGGATACCCAGCAAAGGTTTGTGATCAGTGATCAAATTGAATTGTCTTCCATAAAGGTATTCGTGGAAGTGCTTGACTCCTGTGACTGCAGCAAGCGCTTCCTTGTTGATATGGCTATAGTTTCTTTGCGTTTTGGACAGTGTCTTTGAGTAATATGGTATGGGAGCTTCTGTCCCGTCGGGTAGTCGGTGGCTGAGGGCTGTTCTGATTCCATAGGGAGAGGCATTGCATGTGAGTGTCAATGGTAGCATCTCGCTGTATTGTATGAGAATGCTGCTGGATGTCAGGATGTGTTAAATCTTTTTGAAAGCGTTGGCCTTGTGTTGCCCCCAGGCCCAGGTGGTTGTTTTATCTAGCAGTCTGTGGAGTAGTTCTGCAATGGTCGCCTTCTGTGGTAAGAAAACATTGTAGAAGTTGAGTAACCCCAGTTTCATTTTGTTTTGTGGGGTGGGAGCTTCCTGTATCTCCTTCAATTTCCTATTTGTGGGTCTGATGCCGGATGGTCTATCAGGAAACCCCAAAACTCCACTTGGGGGATGGCTAGGTGGCACTTATTCCTTTTTAATTTCAGTCCGGCTTCCTGGAATCTGCCCAATACTGTCCTCAGTCTCTCTATCAATTGCCTCCTGCTTTCAGCCGAGTTGATTACATCATCGAAATATGGGATTACCCCTGGAATGTTGTGCAGTAGCCTTTCCACAATGCTCTGGAACAGGCCGGGGACAATGCTGACTATGAACTGCAGCTGCTTGTATTTAAAAGCACCTCGGTGGGTGACAATGGTTTGCGCTTCAGCGGTTGCCTCGTTGATGGGCAGTTGCTGATAGGCCCGGGTGAGATCTAATTTGGCGAATATAGTCCCTTGGCTCAGAGAGTGCAGGAGGTGCTGTACTACTGGCACGGGATAGGCACCTCATTGGAGGGCCTTATTCAATGTTGTCTTGTAGTCAGCACAAATTCTGACTAAACAGTCTGGTTTAACTGGGATGATGATTGGGGTCTCCCATTTGGCATGGCCAACTGGCTGGAGGACCCATTGGGCAATTAATTTATCTAATTGTTCTTCAACCTTGGGCCAGAGGGCAAACGGGACTTGAGTCGGACCAGGGCAATGTTGGGGTCCAAATTAAATGATATTGGGGTCCCTGTATACTTGCCCCGTTTGTCATAGAAGACGTCACTGAATTCCTGTTCCAGTTCTGCAATGTCTGCTGCCAGGGGCAGGGTGGTGGTCTGTGCTGCGTGACCACCGGTGATGTTGATCTGGAGCGGCTGGAACCATTCTCTTCCTAGTAGACTTGGCAGATTCCGGTCTACTATGGTGAGTGGCAGGTTTCCTTGAAATTGGCCATATTTTTTGTGGGCCGTCTTCCTGCCCAGGACAGATTTGCGGCAGCCCTGGTAATATTTTAATATAATAGTCTGTGGTTCCAATTGGCCGCACCGCAGTTTGGGTTGGAGTCTTTTGAAGGTGTCCCACAAGATCGTGGATATGGAGGACCCCAAGTCTACTTCCATCTGGCAGGGCTTGCCCTCAATGGATACTGTGGCCATTATTTTGTTGGCCTCGTAGGCATCGGTGTGTGTCACCTGGGTCTTGGCGTAGCCAATGAAGTTAAAGTGTGTTTCTTCTTCCCTGGCATCATCTCTCCTTTTGAATTTCCTGCCAGGGGTCTTCCGTCTTCCCTCAGCCATTTTGCCTTGTGGGTGATGATACCCGCCTGCCTTGCTTGTCGGTCGGTTGGATGGCTCAGCAAACCTCCACGATGTGGCCTCTGTGTTCAGATCTTTGGCAGATAGTGTCCTTAAAACGGCATGCTGAGTGGTGGTGATTTTCTTTGCAACCCCCGCACTATCCATTTCCTTGTTTCCTGTCTGGCTAACAGGACTTCACCTTGTGCATTTCTTTGTTGTCCTCGCTTGCTTCGGAGGCAGAGTGGCTTTGGTGGCGATTGGCCTTGGTTGCATGGACTCTCCCTGTCCCTCGGATCCGTGCTGCCAAGTTGTCAGAGGACTACGCAGCTCGTGCCTCATCAATGGCCTTCTTGATGAGATGTCCTCCCGGGCCAAGAGTCTCTTTTGTAGCATTTGGCCCCTCATTCCAGGAGGATTCGGTCTCGGATCATCCCTTCTGTGTATGGGAACCTGCAGTTTTTTTGCTATCTTCCGCAGTTCGGCTACGAATGTGTTTATTGTCTCCCCCTCTCTCTGGCTCCGTGTGTAAAATTCATGCCAGCTTGCCAGGTAGGAGGGAGAGGGGGTGTAATGTCCCTTGGGTGCCCATTGGAGTTCGTCCCAGGATACACTCCACAGGTCGTCCGATACGAGGGCATCTGCCATTTCATAAATTTCAGAGTCGCAGTAGGTCAGGAATAAGGCTTTTTTCTGTGCATCAGGGTCTGCTTGGAGTCTGTTGACTTCCAGGTGCAGGTCAAATCAGCCCATCTATGAGGACCATTTCTCCTTTGCCGCGTTGTAGGGGATCAACATCAGGTGGTGTGCCAGGCTGGTCAAGCATTGTGTCATGTTGGTTGGCGGGGTGGCAATCATTGTGATGGGCAGTAAAATGTCATCTGAATCGCACAAGATGTCCTTTGTTCTCTCCGCAGCTCAGGATCTCACCATCGTCGCCAGTGTTAGATGGGTCCGCGGGAATAAGAT